ATGTCACAAACAGTGGGGAACTCCTGATGATATAGCAATAATAGGTTATTTCCCAACTTTTTGGGAAAAATGGGCATGAGGTTCGACTAGATCAAAGGCAGTCAGGTGGCATGAACTAAAACCGAAAACCATTGCTGGCCATGAGTGACCTTGGGCGGTTAGGTAAATGGCCGGAGTCACAACAAGCAACAGTGGAAATGGGGATGGGTTGATTCAAATTGGGAGCACATGTCAAGTTTTGTCTCAAGATGTGGTTTAATCTGAAAGCAAGCAAACTCACTGGTTGCACTGTTGTAGGGATGTCAGGTGCAGGGGAATAGGTTGGATGGGGGCAAGTTGCTAATACATAGGGCGACCTGAACTCCGTATACGGATTTGAACTTGTGCAGCAGGCAAGTCGAAATTGCAGTAGGAAAGCCAGGCTAGCCAAATCTGAGCGAAAATTTATTGGGTACGGAAGAGTTCATCCCAGAGACGTGGCCGGATGGGAACTGCTCGAAGTTGTACCTTAACCATGCTGGGTCCACCACTGGTGTACAGACAGGCCCCTCCTAATCAACAATGAAACTATTTGATCAAGAAGTAAGTTTGACTTTATGGCACCAGGATGGCCAGAAAATTCAAGGCTATAGACGATGTCAAAAAAGATACATTTTTTATTTCAGGTTTATGATCGAATGAAAACGGTCCACAGGAAACGAAACAGAGAAGATTCCTTTTATGGTTGTACTACTCTATTCAATAAAAAAATATATTGACCCAGGTGGTTTAACAATTTTTCAGAGCACACGGTTGCGACTATCATCCATTGCTGAGGCCTCGTAACAGCATCGCACATAAACATCGGTCTAACAGTAGTAACCAGCAGCTATGGTAATCGACAGCGCGTGCGGTTTTCATGTTCCAACGCAATAGCTAGAGTTATTTCCTACAGTGCCGTTGGGCTTCGTGATGTTGTCCAGTTAGATGACCTCATGCTTTCCAAAATAAACCATATCTTTGCTTTGGTAATTAACATGCAGATATCTAGAAATGCTGTATTATCCACCGAATATTGTGCATCACTACCACAAAACTCATTAAACCATCTTCTATTATTGCACCAAATGCATGCTTAGCCTTCAAAAATAATTGTGTACCGAGGTTCGATGAACTAAATGATCTGATCTTTTACGTGTGAAGTGCGTACGACATACGGAAGCTGTTCACTCATTCACTTTTCTGGAATTACCACTGGATATCCTGGTTGCTTGCTCAAGGTAAATCGTGTTTCATTTCTCCGAAAATATAGGGTCTTAACATCACAAAATTGACGGTGTGTTAGCCTATTGCAGCATCACGTCTCAGCGGTATATTGCCCATAGCATTCTGTTCGAGTTAGCAAACTTCCAAGGTCACCAACCATTACTGGTTCACTTAGATTTTATTTTACGAGATAAAAGCGGCGATTGGTATTTACCGGATCGATTAGGTTTCAAGCAAACCAAAATGTTTTCGGGGATGCCTCTTCGTAGCCTAGAGCGCCATCGTCCGATGGGTCTTCTCTCAACTTTTCTGTAGGGCTGATTTGTTGAAGGTCATCAGCCACCCAAAACTGGAAAACTGTTAAATATGATAGGTTACCGCTACTTGCGGAACAGGTTAATCACTCACAATGAGCGAGATTTGCAGGTAGTTCACCAGCCCTGATGGATTGCTAGATCCTACTTTGTGATCGGACGCGAAAAATATGTGACAGTCACCCTTGGAAATATATTGTGCTTTACATCTTCACCAGGCCAGACAGATCCCGAGTACTTTCATTTCATGGGATAGGTGTTCCGAGAAATCTTCACCATGGGGACGCTGTTTATATTTGGATGACCCTAGTTTTGAACAGCGCCTTCAAATGTAGTAGCCTCTTCCCGTAGAACAAATCTTATGATGCACTGCTAGATATCACCGTAGAAGCGTTCCCGTCCAGTTTACCGACAGTAAATGGTGAAACGCTTCAAGCTGAGCTCCGGAAAGTTCCCAGATAATTTACCGCTAGGCATGTACTTGGTGAGTTGCTCACCATAACGCCCGTAAATTAGTTGCAACTCTAATAGAGAGGGCTGTTTTTGCTCTCACGTGACTGCAGCGGGGGCTTGGCTGGCACTAGCCAGATGGAACTTACGTTTATCATAACGCACGCCCAAGACCGAGTAGATACGTGTTCTAACTCGGACGAAATGAAAATTTTGAATTTTTTGTTGTTATTATTATAAATGCACTGGTAGACCCCTTTGATGGGTGGCGTTCACCCACCCTCAACAGAATTGAAGAATGCTATAAATTAATTCGTCAGTCTCACAATGAAGAAGGCCGCTGACATTTGGGCATAATACCTTGTAGAGCGAGCGCTTCAGAGGCGACTACATCCCAGGGCCGAGTTTGCGCAATGCCAACTTCAACAGCTGATCCTCATTGCGTCATTTTGTGACTGATATTTATTGAGCACTAGGCCTTATGTACTAAGAAACTTACCTGGAATGCATGCCGACTCGGTAACGTGGAAACATAACGGAACTATTGGACCTTGCCTTCGTCAAATGAATCCGTCACCGTCTCTTTCCGCCAATCGGTGCTCTACAGCACTGGTACTGGTATTACTCTCAGAACGGCTGAAAATTTGCTTCCTCCCGGATCTGAAACTTCGGACACACACAAGTCCAAGTCAACATCACAACGCGCGGACCCCAGCGCTACCTGCACGGGTCGGGATCCAGGCACCGAAATCAAATAAGCATATGCGCACTCATCCTGGAGACAGGCCTGAAGTTCGTCATCGCAAATCGGGTGAGCACACCAGCACTACGGTCCACTTGATAATAAACACAATTCACTGAGCATCAGCGCACAGTGCAACCAATCAGCAGGTTAGAAAGCGCACAAAAGCACACAAACCGCCATCTTGGTTGAGGTGGAGTATCCCCGACCTCCGGATGCAAGTCATTAGCCACAGACGCCAAACCTGACAGCTGAATTTGCGCCCGAAAGTTTCACAGCTTAATGACGGTTACGGCCGCCTTGAAATAAGGCGCCTTATGTTTACCCACCACCTGAATAAGTCCCTTACGCAGATCATCCGTGGTTTGAGAATAGGTTACATTAAATTGCACTATGTTCCCATCAAGTGGACCACCACCAACCACCTTTGGTGGATGGAGAAGCGACATAAGAAATCATCTGTGAATGATGTCACTTACTGCTTCGAATGGACGGGTCTCTGGATGCCGAGAACGAATGGATTCAGGCAAGACACTGCCTGGTGGGAGGGCGCGTGCATTTGTTAGCACAGGTGTTAGTCGTCTGAGAGTTCTTAGGAGTTCGCACCAGGAAGTAAATGCTAATTAACATAGATTTATCTCATCTTGCTAGTCCCAACACGATTCAGTTTTAGGGTCGCTGTCCCACATACCTCAATATGGAGGAGGACACATACGGCAGAACGAAACAATCCGTCACTTGACAGAGATGGCCGATACTTCCTACGGTAGTCGTGTATGTCCTGAGTGGTAATAATAATAAGGTAACGAGACGTGAATGCAGGCTGTTTTCAGCGTCGCCTTAGAGAAAACGTACTGGACTGCCGGCGCGTCATCCACAATTTGGCATTCCAAATGCGGATGAAGTGGGGCGAATGGCGTCAATTTGAATCGGGTCGATTTTGATTGGTCGAATTCTAATCGATCAGAGCGTGGTGTCTGCTGAGTTCTGGCCGATTCTCCATGCACTTGTGCGTTTGGCGTGATTGTAGTATACACTGTCTGTCAGTTTGATTGATTCATATGTAAGTATTGGTGATGTACAACCTTGCTTACTGGGCTTTGGCTCATGAGCTTTGTTTCTGTTTTCCATCCACAAAAATTGTCGTGAACACCTGCCTTCGGAGAATCACTGTCCCGTGGTGCTTCCACAGCGTGCATATTATGGTGACATTCGGTCATTTTAAGCGACTACCCTCGGGACACCCTCCATCCCTCGGTTGAACTTTGCATTTGGTCCTTCTTCGATACATGGATTCATGGACGTTCTCATACCACGTATATATTACACAGGATACACAATTAACTTGTGGGTGTGGACTAGAGCTATGTAGGTCTTGGAAACAGCGCCTGAATTCGTTGTTCATGCTTTTCATGACCGTCTGGTGTAAAATTTTATGCATACGTGCGCAGAGTCAAATACAAAAGACAAGTTGGGCAACTTTCTGGCCTAAAGAAAGGATGCACTTATGGATGCTCACTTTTACTTGACGTCTGATAAATCTTCGCACCGAGTTATGTGCAATCGGAGCTCGGAATGATTGTGGTATGCTAGCACCTTCCCTGTCTACCTTTATTCTTTTCTTCACACCATGTGGCCAGACAACTTCGGCTAGTACTGCGTAAAAACAGTCTGCGATCAGCACCCAGCTGAAGCAATGGTTTCCCAGAAGGACGATCAGGGTCCTCAACCAAATCCTTTGCCTCAAAGGTCTAGCCGCAATGCAGCGGTGTTTGGCAGGAAATGCAGATGCACTACCATTTCTACGGAACAAGACGCCACACGTTCCAATATTGAACCTGGAGGGCCAGAAGACCGTGTTTGTCAGACCTCTAACCACTGAGCAGCCTGGTATGAGAGACTCGATTATGATGAGAGACTCCCCAGTATAGCTGAATAGATCGCTGGGGTGCGCAAACCGTCACACCACGGTAAGGTCCAGTCTCTTCATGACAGGCACCAACGGCGGTTTGTGATGCGTCCGTTTTTAGAAAAGGTCGGCCGTAAAATCGCACACTTCGCCCAACGGTTAACTGTGACCACTGCGGTGAAATACCCACAAAATCCGACGCGGTTCCAAACGAAACCTGTAATCCCAGTGATGTAAACCTCTGCGCTGTAATCCTTGCGGTCTCTAACTAGGCCAGGCGCCTGTAACGTCAGACGAAACCACCAACTCCCAAACTCTTTATAATCTTTTTCACGCCCTTCTGTCAAGTCATACGCTGTTCATTCGCGGTTTGCACCTTTCTGAACGAGTCACGGATAATAGCACTCGTCTCGGTAGACGGTGTTTCGGCATGCGTAGCATATCAACAAGCCACCCTAGTTGATGGTGCTGGGATTGAAGTTTCTGCTGCACAAGCAAATACCCGTTTTCTAATCACCACGTTACTAATCCATTGATGTCCTCTTAAACCACCACCGCTTCTGAGACATCGGTTGGCAAAAATCTGAGGATGCCTCACATCATCTGTCTGTAGAGGCCATGTTTCGCAACTACTCAATAACACGGCCGTTACTGTAGCCTGGTAGACGCGACCCTTGAGACCCAGCGATATATCGGTTTGAAGCCACAACTGGCAAATTAGAAACGTGATCTGGGCCTTCGAGATTCGTGCATTGACTTCATCAGCCACCATCAGTGGTTACAGCGCGAATTTACTGACCGGAAGGTTTGAACACAGCCTCTGCCTCACCAATTCCCCTGTCTAGGCATGGGCAACCTAGAAATCTCCCAGCAATCGTGCTTCCTTAGGGTGGCGTGGTAGCTAGGCAGTGAAAGGGTCTCACAGCTGAACGATTATCTTTTCATTTATTATTAACATCCTCATCATGGACAGCAAGAAATCAATGATCAATACCGTTGCTTCGCTACCGTACAATCATGATTGATTTCAATGCCATCTTATGAAGAAAAGAATAAAGGTAGACAGGGAAGGTGCTAGCATACCACAGTCATTCCGAGCTCCGGTTGCACATAACTCGGTGCGAAGAGTTATCTGACGTCAAGTAAAAGTGGGCGTGCTACAGTATGCCGAACCTTCATTTGTCGAAGAGAGTGCTGTTTTTTATGCCCGATTCAGAGTGGCGGAAGCAGAGAGATGGCCAACCCTTGACTTGGCGGAGGAGTATGAAGGAGATCACGAAGCGCTTGGGTGTTGTCAGTGCTACTCGCCCTCCAGGATGGAGACCGCGTGACCCTTACTGTACCTGGTTGGAAACGATGCAGGATATGGCTGTCAACCGACGTCAGTGGTGTTCTTGTTGTCAGTTCCTATCCAGTTTGTCTGAATGACTGTCTGGAGTTGTAGGCACCGCAGAATTATTGTGGTAAGCCAGCACTAAGTCCGTCCCTTCCCACCTTTATTCTTTTCTTGACGATAAAGATTTTAACTAAATAATGGTTGTGCGGTAGTGAAGCATCAGTGTTGAACACCGATATCATGCTGTCCATAATGATGATGCTTTCATCATCATAATCATTGTCAGCCGTAATAACCGCGTACAGTGGTTGTAGCTGCCGCAGTTTCGTTCACTGATGATTTTGGGGGGGGGAGGGGGAGGTAGCTGCGCATTTCGGGCGGGAGCTGATGAATTCGTGCACAAATCCAGCACTGTCAGTGGACTGTCAAGTGGGGGGAGTTGGAAAAGGAGCTATGCATTGAAGGCAATAGCTTGGATGCACGAGCGCCATTGAGGGTGCGACTGGGACATACCTAACAATGCCCCTAGCCATTGATGTGGCCCGTCTCAGGGTCCCCATCCAGGAAGACGGCAGTGACCAGCGCAACTGAGTTTGCTGGTAAAGGCTTTCATACTTCGCTGCCAGGTCATTGTTTGACCGCCTCTAGATCTCTTTCACCCTTCATGAGGTTGTGCGAAAAGAGCCCCTCGGGGAAGTCGGTCGACTGGCATACGCAGCACGTGACCAAGCCAGCGCAACCTATGCAGTGTGACCAGTTCATCTATCGAAGATGAGTTATTTCTCCCGAAAACCATTCGACGTACTTCAGAATTGCTGATCCGGTGTTCCCACTAGATTCGGGCAATGCTCCGAAGACATCGATGGTCAAACACTGAAAGTCTTTTGACGTCCTCGGCGCGCAGCGGCCAGGTTTCTGATCCATATAGTAATATGGAGCGCACCGCAGCATTGTAAACTCGACCCTTGACAGAGAAGCTGA